ATCAAACTATGGTCTTGAACCCTCTGACTGGCCCATTTGGGAAATGTTTTGTGTAGAGTGGCCTATCTGGGAGATAGTTTGCGCTGAGTGGCCTATTTGGGAGATGGTTCCTGTTGACTGGCCTATTTGGTAGATGGTTCATGCTGAGTGGCCGGTTTCGTAGATGAGGAATCTCCAAGCGGAAGGGGCAGGCTCGACCATCTGTCTGATTCCCTGCTCATGGAAAAATGAGGAAACTGACACGATTAGGTTTTGTTGAAATGGGTACTGAGGACTCCCAATTGCGTGCAGTTTTTGGACGGTGATGCAAAAATGGGAATGGACGCAGGCACCTATCTCCCTTTCGCAGGCCAACGTTCTGTGGCTTCGCTGCATGGTGTTGTATCGGGTTGGTTGCTGGGGGTGGGGAAGGGGGTGTGCTGTTTTGGCTGGCAGTGAGTTAATGTGCATGGAGTCGGTCGAAGTTGCCGCCCTCCGCTGAGCCTGCACTCTCAACTCATTTTCACAAAAGTATGCTGAGTTGGGTAGTACACTGTTTTTGAGAATCTGCAGAAGCTCAAGTGCTAATCAAGTATGTGACTTTGGCGAAGCCGCAAAACTGCAAAAAGCTTGAAGAACTTGAGGCATCACGATATCGATTTTCAAACATCAAAACTGCAGTACAAGTTTCCTTGTGCTGGAGGGATGAACTGCTTATGCTGCCGCCAAAGGGACCCATCTTTTCCCATGAGGATTTCTGCCACACTGCGCACACACCCAAAGAAAAAAAGAAAACAGGAACGGACACAAACTTGAGTCGGGCCTCAATTTTATTACGGGTTAACTGATGTGCTGGAACAAAATAGCTGGGAAAGGACTGATGGTTTAAGCCGCTCAGTGAGTTAAGAACATCAATAGCGGTCATAGATGGGCCAGGTGTTTGGAATCTGCCTCTCTGATGTATGGAGGTGGGTTTGTAAAGTTATGAAAAGAATTCAGCCACTTTCTGGGCATCCCAGCCTTTCTTCAAGCCCACATCACTTTATGTGGCCAAACCACAACTTAAAATGTACTGTAAGATGCTCTGTCCATAGGGCCCTTATTTTACTGAATCATTTGGAACCTTCTCCCACAAACGTTCAGTATTCTATAACAAGTCTGTAACGGGGTGGCATAGCCAATCTAGCCGGACGATCTGGGGAATGCCATGTGGGGATGGATCGGGGGGGGGGGGGGGGGGGGGGGGGGGGGGGGGGGGGGGGGGGGGGTAAGTTTGCGCACTCCTGTGTCACAACCTCAACAACCCGAAATGGGCATGTCTTGGCCACTTTGTCTTTTCGGTATTCAGGGGTTGTAAAGGGGTTTCACAGGCAGAGAATGCCTGGTACAACCTCCGAATGACACCCAGCCATCCACTCCCTCCTTCAGGCACACACACTTGCAAGCTCTACAGCCTCCGGAGAGCAATCGGGATGTGCATGGCCAGGCAGCATCCACTCCCTGTATAGATCAGACAGAGTCTGCTAAGGGGCAGTGAAAGAGCCTCTGCAGAGGACGGTGGTTGTGCCATCCCATTCTGTCGTCACACAACTAGAGTACCGTTAGCATGCACGCAGCACCGTCTCTGCTCGAACGCTATGAAGGGATGGTCACTGCCGGTCTCTGCCGCAAAAAAACTGCGACCCTTCGTCTTGTACTCATCCCTCCTACCCCCTAATTACTTGTCGTCATTGTTTCAAGGAAGTTTCCATAGAAAGTATATGTATCTGTACTGCGTGGATTGTTCCCGATGCCATCATCGACCACACCCTCTCTTAGCATGCGCCACATGCAAAGTTGGGCATGCACCTTCTGCAATTGCAGTTGGATCTCCTTCATCCTTGCCAGACAACAACAGATGCAGCAGCCTGAGAGGGAAAAAAGACTACCATATGAACCACCTACAGAGCGCTGTACTGAAAGGTTATCACTACCAGGGCGAGCTGTTACAGGCCAAATCCTGCAGCAGCTAAACACCCTGGCTTTGGATCAATCCCCGTTGTCGTCTGCCCGTAGAGGGCATAAATATCATGGAAGCCCATGAAACCTGCTCAATGCGGCTCTGTGATGACCCACCTGAGATTTAGCTAGCATGTGGTTTACATGCCGTATGCCGGAGGATTATGGAGGGATAGCCCATGTGAGCTTTTGCTTTCATACATATCATGACAGTTAATACTGCACTCAACTGCAACTGCGAGAATTGGATGTGGTGCTTCAACAGTCCACACCCGAACTTGTCCGGTCTGTAGGGGTGACCACTTACCATAGGCAAGGACTGGTCCTCAATTGAATATCTTATGGAATCCAAACACTGACTGGCCTCATGTGCCATTCTAGAGTAGTCTGCTCCAGCGGTGAGTATTTGGAACCCTGTGAGAACTCCACCTATTTCCGTCCTCGTGTACTAGTAAATGCATACGAATGGCCATCATTAAGAGAACACTGAACAGTCAAAATATAAGCTTAAGATCTGAGGAAAAATGAACAGGAAAATACCTCCGCCTTCACTCTGCCTCCTTTCAGAGTGTGCAAGTGGGCCTTGTACACGAGAGGCACAGGCAGGGGAGCTGCAAGAACAAATGAAAGGGGTACCCCAAAGAAAGCCAAAGTGAACACTGTTAAGACAGGGATTTAAAGTTTAAACTCTTCTATTGTGCTCCCTGTTGCTCGCTATAGAGGTAAAAGTTCCGTAAAATTGTTTAATTGTTGGATTGTCTCAACCCAAGTGTTTTTGTTGGCTGCAATAGGACCAAAGCTGCTTCAATTTTAGATCTACTAATCTGGGTGGAATAGGGGCTATTGTTGAAAATACACACAAAATTGCGCCCTCACTCTTTCACTCACTCAACAGCAGATAATGAAGATTTGATATGCGCTTGCCTGGGTGTTCCGGGGCAATCCCTGAGGCCTGCTTGTCCAATCATCATCTATTTCCTGCCACTCCAGAGCCTACCTAGCTTTATTGCTACTTCAAAGCTTACATGGTTTCTGTTTCAACCGCCATGTATCTATCTATACCCAAGTCAATTTTTGTATTCTGCCTTCCACCTTTAATAGCCCCAGCATTTCTATGGCTATCTACATCATCCATCAGAATGCTCAACATAGTTTCTTTTTCTTTGAACTCTTTGCGAAAAAAAACAAAAAAAAAATGGCGAACCAGAGACACAACTCACTTATGTGGAGCCTGAGACACAACTCACCTGTGTGAAGCCGGATTTCAGCTCATCATCCGGTTTCCAAAACTTGCATGTTTGCTACCCATCCACTTGTGTAAAAGGGCCTTTACCCGATATAGGCCTCAGGCCTTGTAAAAATAAAGCAGCACGGGCCTTGAAAAAGTAAGGCATTGTGAAAAGGTATCTCGTCAGAGCTCAGAAACGTGAAAGCAGGTCAAAGGTCAAGTTCTCTATCAACAGGCATATTTAAAACTAAGGCAAAGGGCATTGTCAAAAGACTTACCTGTTCACCAGGAGATGTGTATGTCATGTTTTTTTTGGGTAAGGGTGTGTCTGTACGTGCAGGCAGTGTGTCTGTTCGTGCCAAGTAAAGTGTCTGTTCAAACAGTAAATGTGTCTGTTCGTTGAGAGTTGTGCCTGTCCGAAAGTAAAGTCAATAGGCACAGTCCCAGTTCTGGTCCAAGTCCAGGGGTCAGTCCAGATCCATACTTTCAAGTCCAAATTCAGGCCGGGAGGCCTCAGCAGCAGTTGAACTTCGTTTGGGACTCTACTGGGACACATGCAATGCAGGGTCTGGGACAAAAGGAAGGCTGGATTGAGCCAATACAGACCCAGCGAGGAGTATAAAGGAGGCAGCCAGCCTCATTCTTACGCAGATCTCCACTGGCTGCCAATGCGTGGAAGTGCTGGTGCACTTGTGCGCTGAGTCAGGAGGAGCAGCGCTGGAGGAGAAGATGCGCTGGAGGAAGGAAGATGCCTGTACGCTGGAAGTGATGCAGCCATAGCTGCCCAGCGAGTTAGCATTAGTAGTAGAGGGTTAGTATGTAGCTATGAGTAGTATCCAGAGTAGATCCTCATGAGTATTGAAGAGTGTATATGCATCATACGAGGAAGGGATTGAGGATGAGAGTGTTCATTCAAGGTTGGCTATGGAAGATAATTACCTGAGTTGGATGTGATCTGCAGAGGTGGCATTGATGAGTGGTGACCACATTGATGACTTGGAGACTWTCTGCAGGGGTAGCACTGATTCACTGGAAGGCATATTGATGAGTTGGCAAGATATTGGTGTTGCGCTGATGAGCGCTGGACTCAGGGAAACTTTGAATCAATTTGTATTCATATTTTTGATAATATAAGCTGTGAAACTCGGTTCTCATCTTCTCTACCTTTGTCTATTATCAGACTACTGTTCGTTGTGTGTGGGAGTACGATGCATGGCATGTACACACTTGTGTGAGATGGTCTCCAGGACCCATGCATGTGCGTGATGTATATGCTTATTTGAAAGGTGCTCGTTGCTCAACTTGACTACAGCTCGCATGGGAACCTCTCGCCTGTATTCCGGGAGCTTGAAACTGAAAACGACAAAGAAAAGACAAACTTGATGTTTACGACCAACTGGTTTGGAAAAGAAGGAAAAAAAGAAAACGGGCAACCAACAACCACAATGACTTCAATGAAAACAAAGCACACCCCCCCTAAGATGACAAAAACAACATCACACTGTCCTGAGCCCAAACAGAAAACATTTTCGTAGTAGCAATAGGCGAGACCTGATCTTCTCTTTGCAATAGTGCAGATAATAGTTATGGACAGATGATATGCTTTACTATGTTTCAGTATGCTTTGTTACAGCTGGTGTGATTAAATGGCAATACCATTTTGCTTCAATTCAGAGATAAGATAATATCCACACATTATTGTCCTTATGCTCAAGGTGCAACGCCGAAAACGGCGAAAAGCATGTTTCCCGTACTTTGTGGTTGACACTTGTGCCTGTTCTGTTTCTATGCGCAGCTTTGACCTGATGAATGGGCCAGATGCGGCGGATTTCATAAAGGTGAGGATTCGGGTAACGCACTGCAGATGTGAATGTATTGGTTCCTGGGCATGTTGTGCAACTGTGCTAAGTTGCCTCCGTCATTTGAACAAAATCTCAAACCACCAGTACATGCCATACATCGGCCACGGGCCCCTTTCGGAGCCCAAAACGCGATGCTGGCCACCGTTGTATTTGATCGACGCCGCGCTGGCTCCGACTTTTTTGAAGTATGTTTTTGTGGTATAACGATTTCCGTGAAATTACAAGAACCTAATACAGTAAACACAGTTGTATTTTATTGACGGCGCGCTGGCTCCGACTTTTTCGAAGTAATGTTTTTGTGCTATGACGTTTTCCGTGAAATTACAAGAACCTATGCAAATTAATACAGTAATTATAATAAGACCAATAGAAACTTCTCCACAAGGCTGGGGCCATTTACTTCCGGTTTAACATTTTGCTGAAGCGTTCATTGTGCAGGCGACTGTTTTCAATATGACTGCTGTCATACCTTCCGTTTGACTGTTTGTGGTTTCCTGGGCATGTTGTGCAATATTGATGAGGTGACGATGATGTCACTTGAATGGTCTTAGCATTTTGCCCAGCCTTCGTTGTGCCACAGGTGATCGTTTTCAAGGTTGCTATTGTCGTATACCTTCTGCTTGACTGTTTGGCGGTTTGTAGTTCTTTGCAATGTTGTTGTTTGTACCAGTTTTGATATATAGCTTGTGATTGTCTTACAGTTGTTAGTCTGAGCAAACAGTTTTGCCACTGCCCAAATTTCATCATCCCCCCCTTCCGGCATTCTCCGAAAGAACAGTCAAAGTCAAACATACCACTCGAAATGGGCAACAAACAACATTCAGTGCTTTTGGATGTCATGCTAATGCTGATGGAGTTGAAAATGGAATGGGAATCTCATGCTTTTTTTTTTTTGTAAGGAAGCTTGTTTGGAATTGCTGTAGAGGTTTGGGTGGGGTTGACTTGGAAGAACATTTCGGCAACCTGCAAACTACGTGAGTGCGGGCATATTCACACTAGCACTCTCCTAAATGTATCTGATTGCAATTACGGCCAGACCTAGATGATTCTGACCGCAATCATGACCAGAGCTTTGTAGGGAAATGCCTGGTCTGAGTATGCTCTGTGAGACTGGGAGAGAGCAAAAGTTATCAAACCCAAACAAGATCGCCTATGGAAAGTATTGAAAGAGTTCTCGACTTGGGGGGTCTGGGGGTGGTTGTGGAAGAGAGGGGAAGAGAATCGGTTGCTACAGCCCCTCAGTTGGGCCAAAAGTGACTGGGTGTGTGTGGGTGGGTGTCAGCTGTTTTTCTGTTCTTTCACTTTATGTAATGTACGTGTCTGTCTCCACAGTGTTATGTATGTGTGGTGGTGGTGTAATGTGCTTGTCTGTCTCCACAGTGGTATGTATGTGTGATGGTGGTGTATATGTGGAGGTCAAAAGATACCGTAATGGGATATCGCTTGGGACACCCAATTCATGTTGTGAAATGGAGGAGCAAAATCCCTACACTATTAAAAGGGCTAACGTGACAAATCTGAGATCCGGGCCGTTGTCAGTCCTACCGGCCCACGGCCCAGATTGACCGAACCATGTAACAAATCTGCCATCTGGGCCGTCGGGTCCTACCAGACCGACGGCCTGGATAGATCCGGTCTTAAGATCTTTGTACCGCGCCGAGATCCAGGCCGTCGGTCCGGACTGACGGTTCAGGTAGACGCGCCGAGTGCCGTGGGGTACCACCGGTGTTCACGACGTTGGGCAAACCCAACTTTCCAGTGCCCTCGGTCCGTTGTGTTCGGTGTTGTCGGGCTTCTGCTGTTGTCGTGAAGCGAACCGTGCACCCGGTTGTGAAGCGCCCTGTCGTGAAGCTCTCTCTCTCTCTCTCTCTCTCTCTCTCTCTCTCTCTCCCTCCC